ATCTTAACGATTGGGAAATGGCCGAGTATTGCCACAGGCAGGTCCAAGGGAGGAAAGGGGTGGGGGGCAGTAGGTCTTTTCCTCTCCCCACCCCCTCCCCCCTTTCCTCCCCGGTTCCCTCCAACGACACAGGCACCAGTGCTGCAAAATCCCGGGATCTAAAGCTGGAAATAAAATAAAGGACAAGGTAGAAAATGATGAAATAAAAAAAGTGAAGAAGGAAAGAAAAACGTAGGGGAAAAAAGGAATGGGAGTATGGAAATATTTATAATAGGTAAGAAATGTTTCAGTCCACTAAGTCGTATACATTTCTTACCGTTACCACAATTGGACCTCGCCAGTACATTAAATAGCAGTGTTACAACTTTATCCCTAGCTTTTGCATAGTTCCAGAGTGGGAAGGGATTCTCCTGGTCGCCCCTCCTCCTCCCAGGAACCCCACTGTCCTCCCCTCCCCCGTTCTTTCCCCCTTACCCACCCCAGGAGTCCGTTCTGGACCCGCCTATAAGTACCTCATTGTTCTAGTTCCGTTACCACAACACTGGACTTCGTCAGTACTCTAAATATCAGTGTTACAATTTTATCTCTAACTTTTGCATAGTTCCAGGGTGGGAAACGACTCTCCTCGTCGGCCCCTCCCCCTCCCAGGAACCCCACTGTCCTCTTTTCTCCCGCTCTCCTTCCCCCCTCCTCCCCTTTGCCCACCCCAGGTAGTCCTTCCTGGATCCGCCTATGAGTACTTCTCTGTAGTCTTTTATTGAGTTAATCAAATTTTTCTTCTTGCAGATACAATTTACGATGAGGACGAAGTGCTTTTGGCATTGGCCGAGCAGCTGGGTAATTTTACACCACTGGTCGGTGGCCCGGACTATGTGCAATGCTTGCTCCCACCACTGGAGAATCTTGCTACAGTCGAAGAAACGGTCGTGCGTGATAAGGCGGTGGAGAGTTTACGTAAAATTGCTGATAAGCATTCGAGCGCCGCACTCGAAGAACATTTCATTCCAATGATCAGACGC